CGTTACTATATCGAAATTAAACGTAATCTATACTGATAATATCTCGGGATATTACACCAGATCTTCATAAAAAGAGTATTTTATGGTCATTTCAGCAGTACATCAGAACAGTAGAAAACTTCCATAATTCACGAATTTCATTTATATAATCCCACATCCGATACGACTTAACAGAAATGCATCAAAGCATCAAATAACTATCATATGATGCATATAACAAAAGAAACGGTTCCTACCAGCATATTTGATCAACCACTTCAACTCAATACCAAACGAAATCACCATCAATCGCACAAAATCACATAATAACACATGCATATATATACATTAAATGAAAGGTTCAAGCCATCGAGTACCGTTCTCAGGATCGATACTCGAAAACAAGCAGAGACGCCAAGAAGGGAATGGGCTCATGAGTGCAGCGAGGGTTCACGGGACCGCTGCCCGCGGAGGTCTACTGCTCGTGGACAGGATGTCGAAAAAAGATCACGGAGGGACCGCGGGGGCAGATTTCACCCGAAGTGACCGTCCGGTGACTGAGTGATGATAAGTCCTCGACGATGGTGTTGCGGGACTGCTGGACAGCGTTCGGAACTAGGACTGAGGTCGTGTGGGGCTGATCGCCATGGACGGTGGCCTCGCGGTGAAGGAGGGTCCACGGGCAGGTATCGTGCTCTGCTGAGGGTCTACGTGGGGCAGCGAACGACGTTCGTATTGACACCTGGGGCGCGCGAGGGGGCTGTTACAGTGGACAACAGGGAAAGGTCGTTGAAATTCTGAGCACAACACAAGCTTGCGATCGCGATGGCCTGAAGATGATGGCCGCTGGGGATGTCGGAATTGCACGTTTGTGGCCTCGAGCTCCTCGCGAGTATGGAACAAAACACGCCGCGGTGGAGGTCGCGAGGAAGGACACGCCGTGGTGGAACTGGGGACTCGTCGTTCGCGGTGGCAATGAAGAGGATGATGATGGACGGTGAGCGATGGTGGTAGGAGACAGGGACAACGAGAGCCGAAGTACAAGAGAGAGGAAGATATTATGATGGCTGCGGGAATAAAATACGATAGCTGGGAAGTTTTCTTGCCCTTGTAAAAAAATTAGGTTTCCAATTTGTTCCCCAAGCATTATGGGAGTCGGGTAGGCTGACTCAAAAGGCGGGTGCGGGTCGCCGGGTAAAGCCGAGGCACGGGTTGCTCGAAACGGGGCCCTAAGTTCGAAAATAACAATAGACGAGACTCTGGCTCGGATAATCGCACGATGAATTAAATTAAAATCGAACAAATATATTTATATAACACACAATATTTATTTAAATAATAATAATATGCAATTAGACAAATAATGACATTTAGATATTCATTTGATAAAATAAAATAACAATATTAATAATGTCGAAATATCCAAAAAAATCCATTATTCAAATGGATTATATTCGTTTCACGCGATTAAACCGAAATCGACTAACGACGAACGTTTTTCAATAAAATGATCGAGTACTCCAACCTTTTATTTAAGCCGACATCGGGACTAATAATCTCATAAATAATATTCGATAAATAGAATATTTCGAGAAATTCTATAAATCGAACGGGACGCTACACTGATCTTGGTGGTCAAAGGCTGAGATTCAAACCTGGTGCAGGTGCAAACTTGACTTGGGTTAACCAGCTCCTTACACATGATGATAGAAACTGGGATACTCACATCCTTAAACAAAATTTTTTTTGATGAAGTTTGTGATGCTATTCAGAAAATTACCACCCTTGATCCTGATGCTGAGAATGAATGGATATGGACTCAAGACAAGAAAGTGAAGTTTTCAGTATCCAATTCCTATGCTTTCCTTATGCAACAAAAGCTCCTTATAATGGATAAAGCACAGACCAGCTCAGGCCACTTCAAGGACAAGCAAGCTAGAACCAGGCTCTGGAAGCTAAGAATAAAAGGTAAGATCAAACATTTTTTATAAAATGTGTTTTTGGAATCTTACCTGTGGGAGTTAATTTGAAAAAGAGAGGGATGGATGTTGATTGTATTTGCAAAGTGTCTGGTGTTGCTGAGGAAACAGTGGAACATATATTATTTTCATGTCCTAAAGCAAAATTGGAGTAGAAATTAGCTTCTGTTAATTGGGATGGGATACATAGATTAGATTTTGTCAAAGCCTGGTGGTGGCACATCTCTCAGATGAACTAGAAGGATACTTCTAAAGCCCGCACACAATTATCCATGTAGATTCTTTGGTGGCTTTGGAAGTCATGAAACTTGTGGGTATTTGAAGGTTCAGACAGACCGGCTCATCTCATTGTTGAAGCAGCGGTTAGAGAATGGACTGAATTTTCAGAGATCAGCCGACAATCACAACTGGAAAGAAGGAGGTATTAATTTGGATTGTCTAGGACCCCCCAGGGTCAATGGAAGTCCAATTTCTTTCCTCTTCTTTTATTTTTTTCTCTTTGCTTTGGGGACTTGAGTCTCGGTTGGTTTATAGTTTTAACCGCTTGGGTGATTGGATATGAATTTAACTAGTAAAAAACTAATTTTTTTGTTAACTATGGTTAAGTTTGAAAAAATGTGATATGATTAGTTGTTTAGGAATATATATTAAATTAATATTTAAAATAAAATAATATAAAAGTAGGAGAAAATAATTGAAAATGATGGTTAGTTAAAATTATGTGAGTGGATGAATAGTGAATTAAAGTTGATGTGATGTGTAAGAATGATTGGTTGATATTATTTAATTATATTAATAATATTGGAGATAGTGGGGTTGAGTTGGAGTTGAGTTAAATTTGAGTTTTAATTAAGTTTTTTTACTGTTCAATTCATATCCAATTGCACCCATTCGCTATGTCATTGTATTAGACCACCTGCAAGTGGCTCTTCCTATTGTCGGCTTAGCTCATTCATTTGTATTTGAACTCAGTTTTATTATCAATGAGAATATCTATCGTTTTTGGGGAAAAAAAAAAGCACCACTTAAGATTTTTTATCTTCAGCATAACACATTAAATAACTAAAGGAAAATAGTAATAACTAATCGACAAAAATCACTCTCTCTCTCTCTAAATACTAGAAATTCCCAAATTCCTCAAAAACCCTCATTTCTTATGCGGCGCTGCTTCCGCCTTCTCCAGCCGGCCGCCGGGCTCTTTGACGGCGGCCAACCTATGGCTGCGCGACCCACTCCCTTTGGTGTCGGTTTTTCGCTCTCTCAAGTCGGTGGGCCATCGACAGACTGCGGGAGGTTTTCGCTGTTTGTTCCTAGGCGCCTTTCTGGATTGGTGGTCGTCGATCTCCCGGGTGGAGAGACTGTGGCGGGATCCGGTGCTTCTGGCAGGATGGACTGTGGCCCCGACGGCCGGATTGTTGTGGTTGGTCGGGGAGAGGAGAGTAAGCTCTTCCCCATGTTCCCTTTTGCCATGGTGCATAGTTGAGGCACGACCGACGTGTCGAACTCAGATCCGTGGCGTAGACTGGGCTCGGGACGGTGGTGGGGTGGTGGGGTTGTTGCTCGTTTTTCGTCCGGCTGCGGGTAGGGTCAGTTGCTTGGGTGCGGGTTCAACTCTAGGGTTTAGTTCCAGTTAGGCACGCAAGTTGCAGTTTCGGGTTCTGGGGCTTGGGGCGAGATCCGGTCCGTTTGGGTGACTGACCTCCAGTGTTGCTGTCGTGGTTGCTCGGTGTGTTCTTCTCAGTTGTGAGAAGGGCTTTAGTTTATTTTTTTAGGTTGTGTTGTGTTTTTGTGTTTTGTGGGTTTTTTGTTCTTGTGTTCTTGTGTTTTGTTTTATCTCCTTTCGGGGATCGTTGTATTCTTTTGTGGGGAATTTGTGTTATTCTCATTTGAGGAGTTTGTGTATTTTCTTGTGAGGAGTTTTTATTTTCATTTTCGTATTGTGGTGTGTTGTGGATTTTAAGCTGCGTAGTGTAATTCTCTGATTCCAACTATTCAGTCGGCTGTAATTATGTGTTTTAGTTAATGAATCAATCGTAAAAAAAAAAAAAAAAAAAAAAAAAAAAAAAAGGAATTGACTCGCATCCCTCTCTCTCCAGATCTGAAAACGCGGAGTTGCCACTGCCCATCCACGTTGCTACTATCGCGTCCCATTTAGGCTTCCTCTCCAAATATTATATATACACACGGAGTCGGCACCGGGCTACATTTCATCTCTCACTAACACCATCACAAAAGAAAATAAAAAAAAAAAAAGGGAAAGAAAATGAATCTGATCGAGCAGGCTAAGAACTTCGTGGCGGAGAAGGTCGCGAACATGCCGATGCCGGAGGCGGCGGTCGACGACGTTGATCTGAAGGGGTTCGGCTTTGACGGCATCACCCTCCTGGCCAAGGTCTCCGTCTCCAACCCCTACTCCGTCCCCATCCCGATCTGCGACATCAAATACTCCGTCAAGAGCGCCGGCCGAGAGATCGCCTCCGGCACGATCCCAGATCCGGGCTCCCTCAAGGCCGACGACACGACAATGCTCGACGTCAACGTTAAGGTCCCGCACAGCGCTGTGGTTAGCCTCGTCCGTGACATCGGCGGCGATTGGGACATCGACTACCTCCTGGAGCTGGGGCTCATCATCGATCTTCCGGTCATCGGGAACATCACTATCCCGATCTCGTACAAGGGCGAGATGAAGCTCCCCACCATCTCCAACTTCTTTGGAGGGGGGAAATCGTCTGCCGAAGTTGAGGAGGCCAAATGAATATTCTCACTTTAATTACTCTTCGGGTTTTGCTTGTTCTGTTTTGTGGAAGAAAGTTATTAACGATAGTTGATACTAATTATGTTGGGGACTTACTGAGTTACAGTCACATGAGAAATTTTATTGAATAAAAGGTTGTCATTGGGTATTCTTTATGTTGCTCGCCTTTTGGCTTACTGTTGTGGGTATACTGTATGCAGATGTGAAAGAAAGTAGAATATTTGGTTGAAAAAAAAAAAAAAATGTCAGAGAAATTGAAATTGAGAAAGTAGAATATAATTTGGTTGAAAAAAAAAAAATGTCAGAGAAATTGAAATTGAGGGGATATTAACAGAATTGCGTTAAGTAGTAGAAATAGTAAACACAATAGTAAGTTCACTCAATTTCGAAAGCAAGGTTTTACAAAATATAATCTTCAAGCAAGGTTTTACAAAAACCAAATATAATCTTCAAGCAAGGTTTTACAAAATTTAGTGTATGTTTGGAAGCACTTTTGTAATGAACTTTTGACTATAAAAGTCCATTTTCAATATAAAAAGATGTTTGGTGTAAACAACAAAATGGACTTTTAAAAAAGTAACTCCTACAAAAAGTCCATTTCAAAGAAGTTTATATTGAAAATTTCTTGAGAAGTCACTTTTCAAAAAGTCCATCTTGAAATGGACTTATCAATAAGTGTTTCCAAACAAGTCCTAATCTTCAGGGGAACATCCTAACTCTTTAGGATTATTCTATCGTCAGGTATTCCTTGTACATGCATAACAACACTCATGTGGGATATCATATGCATGGCTCTAAATCGATTTTGATAACTTGGTTCGAGTAAATAGCATGTCGACCAAACCGGTCCAGGCAGATCCTTCGAGGTATCATAAGGAGAGTGGGAGTTATTCAAAAGTAGTGGGTCAGACAACAGTTTCCGAGATATTGGGAACGTGGCCTTGGTGGTTAGGAAACAGGTAAATTTCAAAGAGATATAGGTAGGTAAAGCTAAAAGAAGAGGGTAAGATTTAATTAAAAACAATTTTTCTAAGTCACGTTTTGATATATGCGGTCTCGAGATAACTGACTTGAACGTCGGATGGCCAAGCCGGAGATCCTTCCTCTCCGGTCCAGGCTTTTTTGCAGGTATTCAGGACGATTGACCGGTGCGAAGAACGAGATTCTAAGGATTCTAATCGGTATAAGGTATCATTTTCGTACCATTTTGGCGCCGTCTGTGGGAACTCCGATCAAAAAGATTTTTGTTTAACAAAAAATTTGGAGGTATGACGAACAGAATCCCTAGGAAAAATTTACAATCATCATTTGATAATGCATGGGTGGAAACAAGGCCATTAGGGGATGGCTCGCCCCTATAGAACAAGACGTGGCGGCGAGCCACCACCCGGTCACCACCCCAACCAAACCGGGTGGTAGTTCAAAATGAAGGAGCTATGGCGCAACCCGCACCACCAACGACGGTGGAGCGGCCTCCGGGCCAACAAGTAATGAATTTGACCAGAGAACAGTTGGAACAGATGATAACCAATGTTACTGCTCGAGCAGTGCAGCAGGTGACAGCTAATCAATCTCAAGCAGTAGCTGCCCCAACAACAATGAGTGAAGCTAATGAAGAAGATGCGTCTGGCCATAGAGAGGCACCTCCCCGTGGAGGGGAAATGGAAAGATTGGTCGAGCAAGTGAGGCAACTGCATGAAAGGGTCGATGGTCGATCATCTGGTCGGATTCGAGGGCATACATTCTCAACCAGAATCCTTGATGCACCACTGCCAGAAAATTTCAAGGAAACTAGTTTGGTGTTTGACGGAACGACAAATCCGTCGCGATACGTTCAAACTTTTGAGAACATGGCAGTCTTGCATGGGTACTCTGAGGCTGTAAGTTGCAGGGTGTTCTTGTCACCTCTAAGGGGAGGGGCTTTGGATTGGTTTAATCAACTCCCCCCAGGGTTGATCATGGATTTCGAAGACTTCAACAGAGAAGTTATTGAATCAATATTCAAGCTCTGTGTCAGAGGAGAAAACATATCTTACTTTGATGGCGATGAGGCAAGGAGAGCATGAATCACTCAGGAAGTACGTTGCTAGGTACAATCAGACATGCTTAGAAATACCTTCAGCATCAGACGAGGTGAAAGCAGGAGGATTGATTCGAAGCCTTCGAGCAGGACCTTGTCGAACATCCTTGGCCAAGACGCTTGCTCGATCCAATGAAGATATACTGAAATGGTGCAAGAAGTACATCAACTTGGAGGAGACGGAAGAAGAATTCTCAAGATTGGAGTATGTTGCTCGTCAAGAACAGAGGAAAGGGAGACAAGCTTCTCCTAGGAGGATTCCTCATCCAAAATCGTCTCCAAGGAAGAGATCGCCAAGAAGGGATAGTCAAGGAGGACCAAGTGGTAGCCATAACGATAAATGGGCTGATAGGCCGTTTGTGGCTCGAGGACCAAGGTTTAATAATTTCACTCCTCTAAATGCCAAGATGGGGGAAGTTCTGGTAGTAATAGAGAAAAAGTTCGAGGAAAAAGACATTTCTTGGCCGAGGTCCAGGTTTGAGGGCCCTACCCAACCCAAGTCGAGAAGATACTGCCGCTTCCACAAAGACTACGACCATACAACAGACGATTGTCGTCACTTGAAGGATGAAATCGAAAGGTTGATAATGGCGGGACATTTGAAAGAATTTGTGTATCGTGATCGACTAGGGAGAAAAGAAAAGAGAAAGTGTCGAGAAGATTTAGGAGGAGGAAGTGGTGACAATGAACCTGAGGATGATCCACAGGGAGATAAGATCGACCAGGAAGGACGAAAGAAAAGAGGAGATAATGGTCAGGTCCCAATAAAAAGGGGTATGGTGTTCATGATTTCAGGAGGTCCTACTGATGGAGACTCGAATCACGCTCGCAAAGAATATGCGCAGTCGGTGAAGCGCAAGAGAGAAGAAGTCAACTTGACAGCTCAAATGCCCGTAATAAGTTTTCGAGCAGAGGATGCCGGAGGGGTTGTCGTACCTCATAATGACGCGTTGGTAATCACAGCTGAGATTGGTGGTTTTGATGTAAGAAGAGTCTTCGTCGACACGAGAAGTTCAGTGGATATCATGTTCTATGACTGCTTTGCTCAAATCAACCGAGAGCTTTGCTTGGATTTGAAGCCAGTAACCACACCATTATACGGGTTCAATGGCGGTGAAGTGGCACCAATGGGGGAGGTTAGCTTAACAGTGGCCTTAGGATCGGGACCCACGAGGAAAGTACGAATGGTTCGATTCATGGTGGTCGCAGCTGAGTCAGCTTATAACGTCATCATGGGGCGAAGTTGTTTGAATGCTTTCTAGGCTATTGTATCAACGTGCCACATGATGATTAAATATCCAGTTGGCGAAGGTGTGGGTGAAGGATCAGGAGATCAGCTTGCTTCAAGGAGTTGTTATCAAACCACTGTTAGCAATAACAAACAATTGTCGAGGAAACAACACCAACCTCTTAGCGAAAAACATGGTCGAGTGAGCTCCTCAAGGTCCAAGGAAGAAAAATCTACGGCCGATAGAGGAAAGGAAAAAGTGGATATTCAGCCAGGTGGGGAAATCGAAGAGTGTCAAATGGTGGAATGAAGTGAGGATCGAAAATTTAAGATCGGAGCGCACTTGATCGAGCCAACTAAATCCAGATTGATAAGTCTTATACGAGAATTCTCAGATAGGAATTGACGGGCATTGATGCCAGGATCATAGGGCACCGATTAAATATTGAACTCGCGGTCAAGCCGGTGAAGCAGAAAACAAGACATCATGGTGCAGAGATGGATAGAATCATCCAAGCAGAAGTGGAGAAGTTGCTAAAAGTTGGTCATATTAGGGAGATCTAATTCCCGGAATGTCTGTCTAACACAATGATGGTAGCAAAGAGCGAAGGAAAGTGGAGAATGTGTATTGATTACAGGGATTTGAATAAAGCTTGTCTGAAGGACTTATACTCTCTACAAAGGATCTACCAGTTGGTCAACTCCACGGCGGGCTGTGAGTTGTTAAGCCTAATGGATGCATCCTAGGGCTATCATCAAATACCCCTCGCCGGAGAAGATAAAAAAGAGTGAGCTTTGTAACGAGTCGAGGCACATATTGTTATGTAGTGATGCCTTTTGGTCTCAAAAATGCTGGCGCCACCGATCAACGATTGGTCGACAGAATCTTCAAAGACCAACTTAGAAGAAACATGGAAGTTTATGTCGACGATATGATGGTGAAGAGCAAATTCGAAGCCGACCATGTAGCGGATTTAAGAGAGACCTTCTTATCACTGAGAAAGTACAATATGAAACTGAACCCTAGCAAGTGCTCATTTGGGGTAAGGACAGGGAAGTTTTTGGGATACTTGGTAACAAAAAGAGGTATTGAAGTAAACCCCGAAAAAGTTCGGGCAATGAAGATGAAGCCCCCGAATAAGATAAAAGAAGTGCAGATGCTAACGGGCAGATTAGCAGGGCTGAGCAGGTTCATATCAAAGGTAGCAGAGAAAAGTGGGCTCTTATTCAAGACATTGAGGAAGAGTGCAAAGTTCCAGTGGACGGCTCAAAGATCTTTTGAAAAATTGAAAGACATGTTGGCCAATCTGCCTTTGCTGGCTAAGCCCGTGCAGGGGGAAGATTTGATCTTGTACATCTCGATTGGTGAGGGTGTTGTTAGCTCAGTTATCTTACGAGAAGAAGGTATGAATCAGTTCTCAATCTATTATGTTTGTCAAGTAATGTAAGGAGCCGAGATAAGATACTGGGAAATTAAAAGGTGTGCCTTAGCGGTAGTGGTCGCGGCGAGGAAGTTACGACCATACGTCTTCAACCATCGGATAAGAGTGAGGACCAACATGCCCCTTGGGGACATTCTGGGTCGGCCGTCAGTATCTGGACGACTGGTAAAAAAGGCAGTCGAGTTAAGCAAATATTTTATTATATACGAACCATGGAGGGCTATTAAAGCTCAAGTGTTGTTGACTTTAT